GTTAGTGATAGTTTCAAATTTTCGAACAATGGCAGTGAAACTATTAGAAACCCTAGTGGAGGTTAGGGTTTCTGAAATTATCCCTGTAAGTTATTCAAGAAGCATAATTGACTTCAAACATCAATTCCCCTTCATTTTTACTTGAAAAATAACAACATCCCCTTTTATTCATAACAATTATTGGAACTACTTTTATTCATAACAAATATTGGAACAAATATTGGAACTATGTACCAAAGTTTTCAAGTATCACATTCCCCAAAATAAAGAAAAAATTGGTAAGCTATGTTCTAGTATCTAGCTGCACTACTAGCAGGGCACGGGCGTCTGCTTCTGTGTAGTATTTACATTTTCAACAAATCACCTGCGTAATCAATCATCCGTGGAGTAGTCACTTGGAGATTAAACCCATAAAAATAGGGTATCTCAGCTTTGCTGCTGCTGCTGCAAGCTCTTGCCTTGTGGCTTCGTTCCATCGTTCTCCTTAGAGCCAGAGGAGAAAGATTGTGACCAAGGAATCAGGCTCATGGGTGGAAAGCAGCACGAGCAGGCCTCTTGGCATGGTTTTGGCATATCCCAGCAATTGCTTGCCGGGATTTCCTTGTTCTCCATCTGGATCCCGCTAGAAGGAGCAGCAGCAGCCTGAAGTGGACCCCAGCATTCTGCCTTGTTGAATTCTGGAATGTTTGAGTGAAAATATACCCAAACCAAAGCTTCCTGTAATTCTGGATAGTTATTCAGCAACCCTCCGTCAGCATAGACGAAAGCCTTCAACACCTGATCAGATTTCACCCCAGTTAATGAATAGCTTTTTTGGTGGTATGGTAATGGAATGATCATTTTATTCTTTTTGGGCTTAATTACCACAGGGAGTTCTTTGCAGAAGATCCAGTATCTGAGCCTAGCACACAAGTCTAATAGGAAATGACCACCACTTATGTGACAGTGAACATGAAGAGACATCTTTCCTTTCACTTTCTTCCATTCTGCAACCACTTCATCTCTCTGTAATTTGTTGTACCACCCCTGTATCTGCAACACAAAAATCCCATGTTCTCTTTTGCTGTAAATATCTATTGAAAGAATTCATCAACCCAGGATGGTTAGTGTGACAACATAGCCAGCTTCCTATTCCCTCAGCAATTAGCACTAAAATCTGAGAAAATTAGGACTACTCAAGATAGTTAAGAGGGTTCTAAAGATAAACAGAATTTCGATGTTCGCTATGCCTCTGTTGTTCCCACTCTTTTTGTTTACAAAAAATAATAATAATAATAATAACAACTCCCCAAAAAAGAACTATAAAAACAATAACAAGAAAATGTTTTAGCCCTTAAACTGCTGTTAATTTGCAGTTTTAGGTTCAAAAATAGATAATATCAAATAAAATCAAGTGCGGAGTTCACATGGGTTCCCCTGTTGTACTCTGTTCTTGACCGCTTCACCGCTAGCGTGGTGTTAAACCAGAAGATAAGGATTACCTGAGAGTTATTTATGGTTTGAGAGATAGCCAGAGTGAGCTTCGAGGTTACGTCACTATGTGTAAATGTATAGGCTCTAGGTAGCTGTCCTGGATGCTTCTCCTCATCAACTCCTAAGAAAACAACCTGCAACTTGGATGCTTCAAAAATAGCAGGTCCAAATAACCTGGCAACCTGATCCAAAACTCACCATAATTAAAATACATAATAATAATAATAATAAAACACACGAAGAGAGCCCCTTTTTGATCTTTGTTTATAAAGTTAAGAATTTTAATTCAGAACGTGATAATGGTAAGACTTACAGGGTTCAAGGATTGGCTTTTCTTGGATTTTCTTCTTCTTGTTGGGTACACAAGAACAGAGCTTCGGTGTTCTCTGAAGAGTGAAGAAGGCCTTAGCTCTTTTGGAAGCAGAGGACTGGTACTCAAAGTGCCCATATCTTCTAGTTCTAGGCAACAGCTAGTGCCGTGTGGGAGAGAAATAGAGAAAGTCGGAGTCTTGAACTGTTGAGCTTGGACTCCCTCCTCTGAATTAAATCTCCAATATTACAGGACACCCTCCCAAACAATATATCAAATATCTCATGTACATCAGATTATTAGTTATAGGTGGCGAGAGTCTTTTTTAGGGAATTTTGGGGCAGTTTGCTTTGCTTCGATGCTTCGCCTTTTGCAGCTTTGAAAGCTTTGGATATCAACTTTTCTTCGAAGCAAGCAGGCGAGCGTCTCTTTCAAGGCATGTGAAAGTGTTTTGAGAATGTGTTATTACGTGTATCAGGAGAGTTTTAGCGGTAGAAAAATGGACACAGTTGTGGAAAATGACGGAAACGCTGAGAGTAGCGTATAAGCATGAAGAATATAATTCTACAAAGTGAAGCAAAGGTTGCTTGAGGGCATGAAACTTCTTCCTTCTTGTTGCATGGCATCTTCGTTTTCTTACACCTTTGTAGTTTAGTTGTAGTTGGGTTGCAGTTGTAGTTTGACTTTGCTTTTTTAGTTTGTTCATTTTGACTAGAATCTACTCTAGAATGTGGTAGTATTTGGCTTCATAATATTAATAGTTGAATAGAGTATTGCTTTTGTTTGGATAGAATATTGTTTGGAATAATTATTGAAGTATTTTTTGTGATGTGATATATGTGAGATAAAAAAATAATTAAAAATATAAAAGATGGATTCAAAAATATATTTATTATGTAAGCAAAATATTATTTGAAAAAATTTGCTACCCAAGCATTCGTAACATTTTTCTGATTTTGACTAATAACGGACCGTTAATAATTGTCTATGGATCAGTTAATGAATTAGCGAATGGAAACCACTTTTAACAACCACTTAACCGGAAAATGAACTCAGAATATGGATTTTGCTGTCTCTAATTAGTTTCACCATCTGGGAAATGAGTGGACACTTTTTTCTTTTTTTAATTTTAGTACCCAAAACTAGGGCTGCAAATGAACCAAGCGGCTCGAATCGAAATCGAGTTTAAAATATTAAACTCGCGAGTTTGAGTATATATATATTTTTTTATTTTAAATATATATATTTTTATTTTTTATTTTTAATAATAAAATTATATATATATTCTTAATATTTTATTATTTACTAAAAATATTATTTTATTTATTTTTAAAAATAAATATTTATTTTTTATTTTTTTCGAATTCGAGTTCGAGTTCAATAAAATTATGTCGAGACTCATCTCGTTTAGGTCAAAACTCGACTCGAGTCGGCTCGTTTACGGCCCTTCACTTTAATTCTAGCAATTCGCGGCTGTCACGATGAACATTTGGGATACCTTTTCTTTTTCCTTTTTTTTTCCCTTTGAACTTTGTCCCTCCATGTGTCGGTATAGCCCCGCGTTTTTTGTTCTTATGCAATTTCCACATGCAATTTGTCCTTCACACCTCCTACTTTATGTAAACAGTATATTAGGAGATGTACAAAGTAGGATGCTGCCAAAACTACGCTATTCTGCGGCTTGAAGAACTGCTCTTGCATTGAATTATCCACTACACGTTAATATACAACTCCAAGAAATGACACAGAGGACAAATCATGAGTAAAAGTTTGGTGCTCTTTCCGAGCCCATTCGGATTGCTATTTCTGTCATTTTTTATAAAAAAAAAAATACACTGTAACGATTTCATATATATAAAATAAAATTTTTAGAAAAAATAACAATTCAAACATTAGCAATAAGAGGGAGAGATGAGTTGGACGGTACGTGCGGGAAAGGGAGTGTAAGCAAGAGATCTTGACCTCGAGTCCTCTCGCTTTCAAAAAAAAAAAAAGAGAAAACATTAGCAGTAAAATCTTGAAAACAGAGAAAATTAACGTTAATTAATTCATGATAGATTGTATAAGCATGGTGCGTGATCACGTGATTATTGATGCATTTTTACACTAGTTCACATGCACAACTTTTCTTTAGCCTTTAGTAGCCCAAGAACAACTGCCAGAATCAGCAAAAAGAAAAGCAAAAGCGGCAGCCGTGGGCCTGAGAATGCTAAGAATAAGGAGGATTTTTTTTATGTTAAATTTTTGAAAAGGTAAAGTTTGTCAGAAAAAGCGTATAAATGTAAGAGAAGGTAACAATTTTAATGTGTGTATTAGGTAAATTGGGTGTTATTTAAGCGATGGCTTAATATTACGTATCTGATAGAAAATTAATTTTGTTTTTTTTTTGGAGGTAAAATTGACTCCAAGAAAAATTTGACATAAAAGCATTTTGTACATGGTAACTTTTTTTGGATTCTCTTTTTCCTAATTGTAGAAACTGAAAAAAAATATAATATTGCCTCTTTTCTCATTCATTGGAGTGCCTAATGACGGGAATATGATACTAGAGAAGAAGATTTGGCTACCTAATTGTGGGATATTCTAAAACCGCGAAAAAGACAAAATGCTACACGTGGCCCTTGAAACTTCTAGCAATGTCCATCCTAATCCTGTAGAAATTGTTTATTCATTTTTTTTTTGTCTCAATCTTCCGGGACACATTGCACCCTCATTTTTATTGGCTATAAAAGTTTGCACAAAATTTCTTTTTTTGAAGGAAAAAAGCACAATTTTTAAAGCTATTGCATCTTGATCATTTTAATATTAATTCTGTAAAATAAGCTTTGACGGCATAATAACCCAACAGGCCAATGGGCTTTAAAAAAAAAAAAAAAGCAAAAACAAAAAGCACGTAGCCAAACACAACTTTGTTTTATCCGATATTAGATACTTCCAAGCATTATGTTATGCCCCTAAAATTACCTTAAAATTGTACCAATTGTTATGAAATAACAAAAGGTGTGAATGCCCATTTATATTCTCAAGAGGATTAATTCATGATTCATTAGTACATTGAGTAAAGGAGTTACTTCGGATGAACCGTTTCAATCCATAAAGCTATTCATGTATTGGATGAACGGTTTCAATTCATAGAACTATTCCCATAATGAGTGTTTAATAGAAATGATGTACTTTTGATTTTGTAGTACCATATATATATAGAGAGAGAGAGAGGTACCCTGGCACTTCTTGGGATGATTTTGATTAGTAGGAATAATAAGAATATTATTCTCTATACCTCTACTTCTTTCTCTAATATTTCAATCCCTACTATAATAGCTTATTTTATTAGTTTTACAACACCAATACATAGAATCTACAATTTTGATGTTACATACACATCACCAGTTGCAATACAAGTAGCCTATTCAATACTCCATCTATCAGTTATGTAGACGTTGCTTTTGCCTTATGTTTTATAATTTCCAGCCAGCATGAAATAAAATGTGTTTTAGAAATTAAAAAAAAAAGCAAGAAAAACAATAAAAGAAGTAAAGAAAAACAAATCATACAAAATTACATAGACTGATAAATTGTTCTTTTTTCTTTGGGGGGAACAATTCTAACTTTTGGGAGGTCCGATAAAGAGTTGTGTTTCTACCTCCTTTACTTGTCTCAGTGGTAAGGGCTGTGGACTAATCGATAGTTCCAATTGTTGCTCTTCATACTGCAAATTTTATTTTTTTTCAAAAAAAAATGTAAGTTACTTAATAAATAGGTTAATTTGGCCTACACAAGGTGCATTTATAATTTTACTGTTAGCACTAAAACTTGTAAAAGAGGTGAATTCTTTTTTTTTTTTTGAAAAAAAATATATTTGGATATACAGTTAAAAAGAATACTCCAAAATGAATTTACTTGCTTCTATTATATATCCATACTTACCCAACATCACAAAGTTAAAATAGACTTTTCATTTTAGGTCCATTTAGGGTATGTATAAATTAATAACGTTATGAGTAAAAAGAGTAATCCACCTTTCCCCGCAATTCTGCATTTTCCTTTCTGAGAATTTTCTCCTGAATTTTGAGAAGACATGCAAAGAAGATTAACAATGGCGATTAACATGTTATGCATGAACTATATTCCTGACCAAAATGTGAATAAACGAATAAGCAACTCCTGAGGCTTCAAAGGCGTATTTTTTACCTCTTCTTTCAGCTGATCCATTCGCTCCCTGAACAATAAACTCTGCAGAAGAATTGGATGTTCGATTTTGACCGTCAAATTCTACATTCTGATCAAATCATTTTAGAGATGCCTATTGCAAAGCGTACCTTTCTTGACCTGATGATGCTTAAACTTTTCTCCAGCTGATTTTCTATCTGTTGCAATTCATCAACACTGGAGGAATCTAAACCATCTCCCAAGAACCTTCTGCAACATAAAAAATTTACATTTATTGGTTTTTGTAATCACCAAAAACTGTAATCATTCATGGTGTTATACAATAAGGATGAATCGTGCTTAAAAACTAAAACAAATGTGTCAATGTTAGGACAACAACCGTCGAGTTTCCTCAAGGATCTCAATTTTTTTTCTCAGGATTGCAACCTCTTCTTCGAAATGCTGCACGCATAAGAATAAGCTCAGCACGAATCCAAAAAGGCAGCAGAATAAAATCGTACACAAGATTCTTTAAGTCAAAGAATCAGTTGGCACTGTAACGGGGATAAACATCCATGATCTTGAATGAGATTCCCAGAATCAAGAAATCAAGTGAATGTAAGACATTGCGGCTATTCAACAATAATTGTTTTCGCCTGTTCAAAAGGATCTTGAATGCAAGACATTACGGCTATTCAATAATAGTTCAACAGGATCTTGCCTGCCCTTCCGAGAGGGCCAGAAAGTGAATGTCAAGGAATAGCTTATTTTGGACATTGAACGCAATTCATAGGCTTTCATGCAACTAAAATTTGGTACCAGAGGAAAAATAGATTTAAACCCAGGTCCTCTAATTTCTTGAAACTCAATGCCAGGACACAATTGAACCTTAATATGCGCTGTTCAAAGAAAATTCAAAAGTCATTTCACATGTGAAAATGGTATATAAAACTCAACAAGATGACATTCTTCCCCAAAAACAAAGCAAGTTATATATCATCAAAATGGTAAACATATAGCGCAGACGCACAAAGAGCAATATGTTCAGTCAAGGGGATGGGCTGTGGGGGCGGTGTGGAGAGAAGAATTTTCTCAGTACGAAACTTTCTCCGTGTAAAAGATTTATAGATACTGATTAATCCCCTAAGCATAAAAAGATACCGTTGCTACTGCTTACATGATCATTCTCCATAAAACAACGCAAGTGAAAAACAGTTGCAGCCATATCCACTAAACTGCAGCAGCAAATCATATATGGAAAGAGATTTCTTAGATATGCTGATCAATTTCTGACCTGTGCTTGTTCCATTCTTCTGCTCGGACATAGATTCTTGATATTCTTCTGGTAGCGCTCTATTGTACTTGTGGCACTAAAAGCATTTGAGGGAACCGCCATGAGGTCAAAGGGACAAGTTGCAAGTAATAAACTATTTCTTGTCTAGCAATTTATGTAATAACAAAAGAGCAATCAATGGTTTGATTCAGTTTCCATTCAGCAAGACCCAAATCAAATTCAAGATACAAATGTGTATGTACTTTAACGCGAGGAAAATGATATGGTGCTTAACAACAAATGATTGTTTTGTTCAGAAGATAGTAAGTTGGGTTATGCAACTAGCAAGTCTCGTTGAACGACAGGATATACCCACTTATCACCAAAAAAAAAAACTAATTTCGTCATAACTAGGAAAAAAGCTTGCTATACTTAACAAAATTTGCCACTCATGTTGGGGTTGCTTGGTTCCTTCAAGGTACCACAAAATTATCCTTTACACCGATACACATGTATACGTACAGTCATTTTACCTTTTAAGGCTTCTTTCGGATCACTAAAAAATGAGCTAATTATAGTTTTTAGTTCAAATTTCAGGTCATTTCGATGTATTATCTTACTACTTGTAGATTATTTAAAGTAGAAAATAATAGTACTAGTCGCTTTGTTGAATGTATTGGAACTTCTAAAAAATTGTATGTGAAAATCACAAACCATCTAAACAAAGCTTAGTAAAGACAGTAATCAGCCATTCTTACTTTGTTATCAAACTTAAAAGAAACCACTTTAAATGAAACTGCACGACACGACGGAAAGATCATATTTAGTGAAAATTGATTAAAATATGTCTTATACTTCACTAGAGGATTAAAACTGAGTAGTGATGTTAAAATCAACTAAACTGGGGTGGTGAACCAAATCTAGCCTTTCATCTAGCTTAGATTTTGAAGATCCTTCACCATGAGATAGAGGATTTGAACTAGCAAATTTGCGAACAGTGTTATTTGAACGCTAAAGGTACATCCACGTACTTAAAACTGACATGTTCCTAAGCGTGGAAACAAATTCTTCTTCTAGTTTTTGTTGTTTAATGGGACAACCAGAAAAAGAAACTATGCTAATAATAGCAGGAGAAATTTTGGGTAAAATCACACTAATGCAATTACATCAACGCACTAGTATTATTCAGGGAATAATTTTAGGGTAAAAAACAAAAAAACCTCTGTGGTAAATCTAATATACAAAAATGCACCCTGTGGTTTTAAAACGTACAACATGACACATCATGCTTTGAACTAAATTGTAAAGGTGACGCAATCCGTTAAACTCAACGGAAATGACTTATTGGAACTTTAAAAAAAAAATTTATCCCTAATTTTTAACAAATATACCTGTTCTTCCCCTTAATCCTTAATTCTCTCTATCTAGAGAATAAAACAAATGATTTTTTTGAACTATCTCTTACTTAATTATATCAGGGCATTTTGATCATTTCGTCTATTCCCGTTAAATTTAACGGATTTCATCACATTTACAATTTAACTCAAAATATGAGGTGTCGTGTTGTACGTTTTGAAATCACGGGAGGTTTTTTTGTATACTAGATTTACTACAGGGAGCTTTTTTATTTTTTACCCCATAATATTAAAATAAAGTTTCTAATCCAGATTTCCGACATTGTATCAGTTCTCTAATGGATCTAGAGACTTTAAACTAACTTTCTTATCCCCAGCTTTTGTTTCTTTTTTTTTTTTCTCGTTATCAGTTCTCTAACTGTTGTCAAGAAACTTACTTCTGTCCGTCAAACTTCACTTTCTTCGTCATCAAACTTAAATATCTCACAAAAGCAAATCAGTTCACTATTTCAGTCCTTTGGTTGCCATTTGGCAGCAATGGTAGTGTAGTAGAGTAGATTTCTTCATTAAGACCAAGTACGCAGTTGAAACCAATAAAGCTAACACAAGCACCCCATATTACACCGTAGGAGCCAGGAAAATATTAGGGGCACAAATAAAAGAAACTCACCAATGTCTTGTGAACTTATCAAACTACTAAAGTTTTTGTTACTTACTAGCGGTCTATAACCCCTTAAAACAATGGTTTCAATTGTAATGATAATCAAACATATGGATTATACATGTAATTTTAATAACAGTTGTTATCAAAAGACACGTGCATATTGACCTTCTACAAAATAGTGAAAGAAAAAAAATATAAATTCTTCTAAAATCTAATACCTAAATTAAAAATTTTCTTTGACCAGTTTGGGCACATTAACAAATTAATGATGTTAAAACAAACTTTATTTTTGAAAATGTCATATTTAATATTGTATTTTTTTGGGTCAGCGGAGGAAAATGCCTGCTAATAATACAGAGACCTGCTGCCCATGCACTAGAACCTAGTCATTTCAATATGCCGTTTGAGGATAAACAGTTCTCGATGTCATTAATAACTGTTTGGGATGAAATGAGATGGAGAGAAGAGAAAGAAAAACTATACCTATATATATACACACACACATATATAACTAAATTGAGCGAGATGGAATGATAAAAACTTAAAGAAAACTTTCTAAGATAAATGACCTCATTTGTCCCTCACTGTTAACTCATCATCCTATTTTGTTTCTTTAAAGTTATTAAGAGTCTATTATGTCCTTTGACTTATAAATTAGGTTTCAAAAGACCCCTAGAAAACATTGTGTCCATATTGATATAATGGACGTCAATCACGAAGCAAACATGAGTTCGCCATGGCCAATAGAAGGAAAAATTTTTTATTACCAAAAAAAAGAAGGAAAATGTTTAGTTTCTGGATCTGTAGCTCTAAGTTGACCACAATAGACCAAGTACATGGGAGGAGAAGAATCCTACCACTTCTTGCATTATTGGACAAATTTTGGATCTGTACATCCTTTTTGCTAATCACATAAAGAGAAAGAAAGAGCGGCTGAGATGGAGAGAAAATGAGAGAACAAATGGCCAAAGCTATAGGTTCAATAGCAAGAAAGGAAATGAGAGAACAATATTGATGAAATGACTTGGCAGTGCATGGAAAAAGGCCAAATAACTAATAAATGAGTGCATATTCTTCTAATGGGAAAACTTAAGACCATACTTAGAAGTAGTTTCACACATTTACTTTATCCATTTGATCTCTAGCGCTTGCCATTCTATATATATATATGTGTGTGTGTGTGTGTGTACAAATTTAGAAAAAATGAAATTGATTATCAAATTTTGCCCCAATAGTGCAATAGATTTTTGTAGGATCATTTCCCTTTATTTACTTAGTCTGTTTAGTCTGTTGTGATCAACCTAGGGGTGGAGGTTTAGGCTTATCATTATTGTCATCTATTGCCCTTGGAGAACTGGAATATCTCTCACTTGATTGACATCTATTAAGTCAATTTGGACAAAAGTTTGCTTAGGGACCTTTTAAAGCACAATATGTAATTTGAAGAACATAATCGGTTCTTAATTTCAAAGCACAACAAGTCCATTTATTGTCAAATTGGTGTCCTAAAAAACAATAAAGCAATCCAAACAATTGAAAATTTTCTTATATCCTGTTTACGTTATTTAACAATAAAGTTATCTATTATTTTCTTCTAAAAAAGTAATCCAATGCAAGTAAAACCCAAAGCAGATAATAACCATGACATGCGTCCTTTTGTAAGATATTAAGCACATGGCCACTAAAAATTTGCAACTACCAAGATATAAAGTCAATAGAAAAGTCTTGGATTCTCAATAACGTCAAATGATACCGCGGTATCGTCTTCACCAAAGATATGCATTTCATTGGAACTTAAAAGTTATATTTAGCATTAAATGTTAATTTAGGAGTATTAGGAAAGCAAAGCTTCAAAAAATGACTATTACTTTCCTACTCAGACATTTAAGATGCTGTGTAGTGTGCTAAACCATGACTCCGATAACAAGAATGCATTCTCTAATTCTTGAAACTTCGAGGGAGTTTCATCATTCCACAATGTGCTCAAATGTGTCAACATTAATCTTAACACTAAGGATAGCCAAATTTGAACTAGCTAAAAAGCTTAAAGTTTCATAATATGCATATGTGATGTGACCTTTCCTGCACAAAAAGAAGATAAGAGGAAGCCATATATTTCCATCGACTGTTTAAAATGTTTGATTATACTCCGCGTTCAGAGAACACTTGTTTCATCACGAATGCTGCACATTATACTTGTTGCATGTATCTCTCAGGTGATACTGGACTACCTCATATTTCATGGAGAAAACTTATGTATATCTTATTATGCATAAAGTTTTTTTGTGATTTCAGCCTAAAAACCTAGAATGCTAAAATAAGTTGCTTGATCAGATGCATGTAATTGCACCAACTTAAAATTGAGAAATGACGTAAAAATTTTGTGAAATGATGCATTCCGTGGGGAACGTATTACTTTAAGAGACAGTGCCATTATTTAGAAGTGATGATCACCATATTGGTGATGTATTTCAGGATTCATGGATACTTAAAAAATTAAAGGCCCTTTATCACGTATTTGTAATACTGTAGGTTATATTTCAACTTTGACAAGTTAAACACAAAACAATCAGTTTTACGCAGTAATTAGCACATAGTTAGACAAATGAATCAAGCAAGAGTGAAAGTTGAATAAGAACCTTTAACTCTTAGATCCCACAATTTGAAGACATTGACCCAGAGATCATGAGTCATGACTAAAAAGTTTAAATGTAAGAAATGAAAGAGGTATTCCAATTTGGTTTGTCGTATTGGCATCTACTGTACACTCTAAAATCCCCGATGATGGCTTTGATTAAAGCACCAGACTAATAATATCAATCTTGGTTAATGTTTCCCATTTCTTTGGCCTACAGTAGCTTTTGTCGTCATCTTCTTGTCCCTTTTGCTTCGAAGCTCTACTGTTCCTAGTTATTCTTCATGGTTTCTAACTATCAAGTCACCTATTGCATTATTCCCCTCGCTCACTTATTTTCAGATACATATATATGATATCTTTCTGTCCATACAATGAAAATACCCTCTGCATGTGTGTTTAAATTTTAATATGAAAGCAACTGCCATGCCTCTTCTGATACCGAACTTACCTTCTTAGTGTGATGAAGTCTGCACATTGTTCTTCATTAGTTTGAGAATCTATAAGTTATCAGAAACGAAGTAAAAGAAGCCGAATTTTAGAAGATTACCATCCCTAATTAAATCCGGTATAAGTAGTTTGAAAGGGTTTATTTTGTTGTTGGCTTCCTTGAGATTAAAGCTCACTGTTGGTTCGCATTGTTTCAACAAAGAAGTTAAACATTTGAAATTTTCTTGGAAATAATCACCTCCTTTTATAGCACCTGAGATGAAACTTCGAATTGCTGGAGATTTGGTGATATCCTTTTAGTTGCATGAAAGAGGAAACTCGTGCATTTGATAATTTAACATTTCAAGTTCTGATAATACATCATCACTATTGGCTACATTCACTAGATTCTCACTTAGCAACATATATATCTTGAATTCTTGATCTATTCCTTAGCAACATATATAACTTGAAGCCCTTGATCTATATATAGTCATACGCCCCTTGCCCTCAGAATATGTATTTGTTGACTGCCTACTTTTAAATGCTTCAGTATGGTAATGCTAATAACGTCCTTTTCCATAGCCCAAAAAAGTTCTTCTTTCCTGTAACTTTCAAAGCACTGTCTAATATGCTAGTACGCAGGTACACTTTGATTGCATAGATTAGATGTGATGATATAGCCAGACTATATGCACGTCTACGCTTACTGGTACAATTTTGACTTACCCAAATAGCTTTAACTTTAACATGCAAATCTTCACAAGATATCGAGCCGTCCGGATTACCTTATTGAAAAGTTAAACTCTATATACACCTATGGTTAAGAACAAGCTGGAAGAGAAGAGATAAAGCTGACTTTTAGGAGATGAGAAGGTCCACTTCCTCATGGTACTAACGCATATGGTCTGGGTCTGGTGTGGTTTCACATTTTCAAGAACAAGTACAAAAGCATAACACCTTCTTACTGGCTTCATTATAGACATAGTACCATGTCCACTTGTAAGTTGTATATATATATAGAACATAAACTACTTTTTATTTAGATTGTAGAAAAACAAGTATGATAGCACAACCCATTATATAGAGTATTTACATAATTAGGTCCTCTAAGAACTACTGCGAAAAGCTACAGCCGGTTGGGATGAACTGCTGTATCTCGTAATTTATGCTCTAGGAAGATAAATCATGTTACTGATTTTTATTTTCTTTGAAGTTGACAGCTTGACATATAATATCATCAATAGTTGAAATGCTGAAGAATCACTACTTTTGATGACACTGGTATCTCCCGTACTTCCTCAGATTGTGTGTATCTTGTCTATAGCTAATTTTGGCCGCGCTTCCAAGGACCTAAGATTTCCACCTCCGGACCAAATAATATCAAAATCCCACTATTAAGGGAGGGGTAGAGATACCATAGGCAAGGTACCTTCAGACAAACTAATTGTTGGTAAAAATTGATTATATCATAGAAACGGCTATAAACAAGATAACGGGTCCCTTGGCTCTCATAAAAGCTTGAGTTCATACTTGGAATGCTTAATGACCACTCCAGTGTAAAAGAGAACATAAACTTTGATGAAGGTGATGTCGTTTTTTGATGTTGTGTAGTATACTAAAAAGGAGGAGCGAAGGAAAATTAATAACAAAGAGAGAGAGAGAGAGAGAGAGATTTTGAGCAGATCATGTGCAGATGTTAATGGTTGATGTACCTGGAACTTGAGAACTCATAAAGCTTCCCTTTTGGGGAGAAAATGATCAGTGCAACTTCTGCATCACAGAGAACTGATAGCTCAAAGGCCTTCTTGAGAAGTCCACTTCTCCTCTTTGAGAATGTCACTTGTCTACTCGTTGCATTTTCAATCCTCTTCATCTGAGTTTTCCCTCTCGCCATTCTTACAATATAGATAACAAAAAGAGGGCCGGAATTGAATCCACCTACAACCCTGAAAAAGAAATCGATGATTCCGTTAAGGGTTGAAGTGCAAGCAACCAAAAACACTGGATCAAGAAAAGTTTGAAAATAAGCACATGAATTAAAAAGTTTCCAAAAACAGAAAGAACCGGAAGGGGAATGGAATTGATCGACCCCAAAAAGGGAAAAACCAGACAAAACCTTTTCTGGGATGTCTCAGATCTGCAAGATGGGAGATGAGAAAAGCTGGAAAATGCTGGGTAGGTGAGACGCTAGCAGAAACCCTAAAGAGAGATTTTTTCAGGCAAGATGTACAGAGAAACGATATTCCTCAAACTCCTTGGTCTTTATGAGTCTCAGCTCCCAACCACCGAATATATGCAAAACACAAATGATTAAGGAAAGACCAGCAAGGCCCCAATACCTCATCCCTTTTCTTCTTTGGTAAACTCGCGAGAAGCACGAAAGAGACCCCCTCCAAAAATGAAATAAAAGGGGAATATTTATTTTTATATATTTGTATGAATGGCAGGTGGAAACTCGTGGGCAGCATTTTTGGTTATTCTTTCTAGTTTCTAGTAAAAAAGATGCCGAGGGGACCATTACATATCAATGTGAACGCAAGTTTTCATGCTGTTCGCTTCGTGGATCGACGGATAGGCAAAGGTTTGCCTTTGGTCTTCACAAGTCAAAGGTAATTTTTTAGTATTTTCCTATGTAGGTTCCATGACAGGTCTCGAGGCATTTGGCCCTTTTCTTTCTTTTTCTTTTTTTTTTTAATAATTAAATTCCTCTCTCCGAATATCTGAAGTTATTAAATGCTCTTTTCACAAATCCATTTCTGATTATTCATTCATTTTCCCTTGTTGGTATATATTAATTGCTTTGTTCCTGTTGTTTGCTCACATAGTACTACTAATTGTGAGGATCCCAATTCATCCTGCATTATTCACCTTCCCAAAATAGCATTCCGCTCTCATTATTGCGTTGCGTGGTGACATATATGGTGCAGCACCAAATTTCTAGGCTAGGCTGTCTAAATGGCTTTCACCCAAAAATAAAAAAGATTGTAAATAGAAAATTTAAAATCTTTTACTCCGAAAAGAAAGAAAAAAAAAAAAAGTTTGCATGAAACGGCAAGATCAGTCTTACAAGGAATTGTGTTGGAAACTGTTATGATAGATGAAGATGACCCAATTTGATAGATATTTAGCAAGTGACATTTATGCGCCATACACGGAATTTTCATGTGAACCAGAAATAAGGGCAAACGCTGGTTTGTTTGGATAGAGGATTATTTGTCAAAATTTATTTACTTACATCATCATTACAATTTCCAACACATTTTTTTATCTTCTTAACTACCTTTTTATCTCACATGCATCACATCATAAAAAATACTATAATAAAAATATCTCAAATAATTTACGATCCAAACAGAGCCGACTGATTTGGTTGACATATTATTAACTTTTGCAAAAAATTATGACACTAGGGTTAGGTAATGGCCAAAAACTTGATGCAACAGCCAGAATCAAAACGTGGTAAAATTTCCTGTAGAATTACCAGAAGTAGAAGCAAACGAGGACAGGATAGGGCCCCCCGAGAGAAAAACAAGGCCAACCTGTTCAAGATATTTATGCACTTTGAAAAGGGTGTAACAAACAGTCCCTTTAAGAACCAGCTGGAGGAAGAAACAGCTCTTGTTTGTGAGGTGTGCTTCCTCTCTTTCTTTCTTCCTTGGGCTAAACTAAAACAACATTCGATTACCTAAAAAGGATAAAACAGTGGATTTACGGATGGGAGGTTGAGGATCACATCGGTGTCGGTTGTCAATACTTTGGCAGTCATGTAAACTCACTCACTGTTACTGCCCTCCCTGGAAGTGGGAAATCAGATCACACCTAAGAGTCGGCAGGCAGCTGTATCAAAAGTTGGAGCACTCCCCCTGGTTAAACCACAGAGTTGGCTCATGTTTTGTCCGTACAACGTTAAAAAGATGTCATTGTCTGCCCGTACAATTGGCGCGTCGTCCTCAGACCAATAAGCAGGCGCCAGCCCCGCATCCTTCACAGGGCGTTCACGTGCTCATGTACCCCTCGGCTACTGTATGGCTGTTACTATTATTAAATTAATGACTACGACTTGACTTTCCCATTTGCATTTTCTGTGGTGCCAATTTTTCTATGACGTGTCTGTCGTTGTCCTCGGTTGGTCTGGCTGGTGACGACCTTTCTTCCATTTGATTTCTCTCTCTCTCTCTTTTTATTTTGGTTTAACGTATTAGCATACTTTTTAAAATCTTCACCGTCAAAAGCGAAAATTGTTCAAAACGTTTTTCTCGTTTTATCAAATGAATTTTTTGTCCTTCATATTTAAAATAGTAACTTTGCTTCCATTGAAAAATCAAATCCGTAAAATTTGATTACAATCTAAATTTTAGACCACTTTCTACTTTAAATCTATTATGTAAACTACGTATAATCATTTTTTTTAGGAACGAAGGGGTTAGACCCTATTTGTACTTGAACAAATAATTCGATCCATATTTATTTTTATCTCTAAAAAGGTAAGATTCGATTCGAATCATATTCATTTTTTTCCTTAAAAAGTGAGATCAGATCCAATCCATATTCGTTTTTTTGCCCTTAAAAAGGTGAAATATGACCTTTTATATATTAAAAAAATGACTACATATAGGTCGCATGATAATTTCATATTAACAAGTGGCAAAAAAATTTAGGTTAAGGTCAAATTTTGCTAACCTAATTTCGTAAGGGCGTAAAATTAATATTTTTAAAGTAAAGAATGCAAAATTTACTTAATGAAATACAAATGACGTTTTGAACGATTTTTTCCCATGGAAATATTTGCAAGTCATTTATCAATCTTCTTTTTTATACATTAAAACTTGAAAGTTAGAGTAAAAATGCTAACACTGATACTCAAGATCCCATCAAAACTTTAAAATTGAAGAAGGAATGAATGAGAATTAAGTATGCCATGTACTAAGGAAAGCTTGCAAGTCTTTGGAGACAAAGTGGCAATTGTACAAAGGTTAACCTCGAGTGAGAAACTCAAAATTCCAGATTTGGGGGTAAGATTAGAAAAGATATATGTTTACCCAACCTTGTATATTTGTAAAAAAGTCTAGTAAGAAAAGCTAATTCGCAGAAGGATGCTACAATTTTGATATCTTAAGTACATATAAAGCAATTTATTTTATCGCCTTTCTTCTCATATCTATTAGTGACACTATCAACATATAATGCTCATTTATGTTACCACTTTATAAGTTTTTGTGTGTTATTCTTTCTAGTTTATCTGAAAATAACAGTCATTATTTTTAGTTAAATTTATGGATTAATTTTACGTCCACTGACAATGTATATTCTATTACCGTTTGATATATGATAACTGATTTGGATTTAAATTTAAATTTGATATATACGTTATGTATCTAACCGTGATAGTAGTATATACGTTATCAATGTATATAAGATTAACTCTAAATTTATTAACCAAACAAAATGTACCTCATTTCAAACAGTTTACATGCCTTTAAAAAAGGGCCTATTCGGTCAAACATTATCTTGATTTTTAATTCATTAATATGGTAAAATCATTAATTGGCCTGCACTTGTTTCACATTATGTTCTTATCGAATCTAACAACAATATTCAGTTTTTTTTTTAAACAAATGTTCGGTTTAAAACGAGTTTGTATTCCTTTTTTTGTGGTAAATAGACGAATTTGTATTCTTTTGTAGTAAAACTATTTTTGGTGTATCGGGTAGCTTTCACAGCATACAAAGGACGAAGAAGAGCACGAGATGGGGTTTGGCTGGGGCGGTGCTGGCCTGACCAATTCGTCTAGGAAGAAAAAATTGAGACGGGGACCAATCTAGAAGTAGGATTTTGAAGAATAAATTAATAAGCAAACAGCATTCTTCTGTTATTACCAGGTGGTTTCGTCGCTAGTGCTGCCCACCACCGAACTAGGCATGGAATGCTTAACCCAAAAAGGGGTGAAAAGAAAAATGCATAGAAAAAATTTTTTTTTTGATAGGTAGACGGAATCAAACCTAAGTCTGTCTTTTTTTTTTTTTTTTTTTGTTAACGCAGTGGATATCTGGGTCCGTGGACTGGTTACCGTAGGACCCAACTAAGTTTGTTTTTCTGGGGAAAAAAAGTGGGCTCATATGTGAATCTTTATGGCCTATTTTAGAAAAATAAAAGTTAATTTGGTTAAAGACATCATTTACAATAACACTCTAAAATACTCATAAATTTTAGACAAATATCAAAAAGAAAGTACATTGATAAGATATTGGTGACGGAGGTTGTTGGTAATGGGTGGTGGTTGGTAGGGGAGAAGGAAGATTTTTTTTTTCGTGGAAAAAATAGAGGATATTTTCAATGTTTTAAGCAAACACTAGTATTTTTTTTTTTAAAAAAAAAATATATATATATAGTAAGTTGCAATAAAATTTTAGACAAAAACTCAAAAAATACACTATTCATACCCATTTGGAATATTAACATCTGCTTTAGACCAAGAATATCAAGAACTGACATCGCAAAAGAAATAGCAAAAGTTGGGGATACCGTTACTAATGATTAGTGAATATATTATTTTAGGATTAATGTTGAAACAGGTACCTGCATTTGTTCTGATACTGCCGAAAGGAAACACAAAAAATAAAAAAATATATATATATATATATATATTAATCATGATAATAATAATGACAATGCTAAAACAATTGATTATGAATAATGGCTGATGTGTACTAGTCCAGCAATTGCATATGGAATTTCTACTTTTACCGTTCGATTAAAATGCAACTTCCACTGTCACTCCTGATATGATCAAAAGCAGAAAAGAGTAGAAAATAAGTTTAATTATTGTCAGTACTAGTCATAATTCAAATGCATCTGGTCCTTAATTTGTTTCCATACTGCAAGATCCAAGAAAACAG